TTTAAAATGTAGCCGTAATCAACTTACACATACCCACCTATACAGGTTTCTGTAACATTTGCCGTTTGGTTACTAGCTACCGAGGCGTTACTGGTGGTCCACCCTGTATATTTTTAACTTGAAATAAATAATGGGCAATCTTTAAGTATAATTATAACAATTTTACCTTGGAAAAATATATGCCCGTGAGCATAAAGCAATGGAAGCTAAACTTACAAAGAATTATTATCATGAAACATCTATAATCATCACAATCATAAGATTACATAGAACAATTAACAACAAAGTACTTAAAGAATATCACCTGCTAACTAATACCGGTTAAACACTTAATTTTACACTACTTTGTCACACTGCCCGCCGATCGTCTTGCTACATATATGCACACTGTTCTCACTTCAACTGCCTATCTTCAACTATTTAGACTTCCTTCCAGAATGCCCCACCCAGGCGTTTGCTTTTTTGCGCTTTCTTCTACCGACCGTTAATATTACTTTTTCATTATTATACAACAATCATGTAACAGGTGACGTCGAAGTTGATAAGATAAGTACGGTTTTGCACAAATTTCGTATTGCTCTGGTTCTATGCGGTGCAAAATTATTTAAAGTAGGCCGTGTAGTTATTTCCGGGTTATCAAGGTTTGACACAGGCCGAACCTCTACCAACTGAACTAGAGGGGATTGCCTTCTTCTCGCAGTCTATGAAATGATGCACCAAAGACTGTGTGGACATGTTTCGTAGGTAGGAAAGAAGTTATGACGGTACCAACATGTTTATATTTTTTGCATCTTTCTGAAAATACTGACCAAGTAGAGTTGTCTCTGATGACAACAAATTAGATTAAATTATTTCCCCAATCCTCAAAATAAAATGTCATTTTAACATCAAACCGAATATAAAGAAAAAGTTTTAACTGAAATGGGCTTATAATGTGCTCCAGCAAAAATTCTCTTCAAATATGTTGAACGAAGAAAGCATCGACATAGTTTCAATTTATGCAGTTCTGCAAAGAAAGAAAATATGAAATATTTGAAACAACTACGTCAGAAGAGCTTGCAGTAATGTTAACCGATCGAGCTTACGATATGAGGAAAATAAATGGAGAAATACATAAAGAAGGCATTATAAAAACTATTTGGAATATTATAGCTAAAACAATTCAAATATTGTACTGTAATTAGGACAGTAATATAATAAACCCTTTTACATACTTACACTACTGGAAAAAATGAAAATTTTTTGTCTTTTAGTCTATATTATTTTTATAAAGTCTTTGAATACGGCCCAACAGAAAAAAAGGGTAACGAATCGAGTATAGCTAGATGATTGGTTGAATTAAATGTAGCGCGTTGCAGTCGAAATTCTGTGAATGAAGCTTATGCCCTTACTAGCTCCATCTCTCTCGCACACGTCTGAGCGATTGCCGTTTATATAGGTAAAATGACAGTTGGGCGAGTCCAGTAGTTTATAAGGTCTATGATCTGCATACTCTTCAGTTGTAAATAAATGAATTTTTTATTTATCACTTTAACAAAAAAATAGTATAATAATAATAATAAAATAATAATAATAATTTTATTCCAACGGACTATACAAGATAGTATGGGAAACTGTCAAAATTGCAAAATTTAAGTGTGTAGGTGCGTTACATAATATAAAATCAGATAGAACATAAAACACATATCACAAGTCAACTATAATAGTAAAATTAAAAATACAAATAAATCATAATACAAATAACACGGATAATGACCAGAAGACGAAGACTGCAAAATGGAGAATATAATATAAAGAATACAAAGTAAAGCAAACTAAAGATAAATAAAGAAAAATTAAGATAAATAAAGAAAAATTAAGAACTATCACAGCGTCATGCAGCTGTGCAATCAATATGCAGAAAAAGTATTAAGCATTAAATATTCGGATACAGAATAAAATGAATTTTCCATTAAAAATTGTTTTAACTGGTTTTTAAATTTGAAAAAGTTTTGGATTTCTTTAAGTTTTACGGGAAGTTTATTATATGAGTGAAGTGAAAAACCATTTCGGGTATTATAATTGTGGAAATCATTGTTTACCGGAAATTCATTCATATTTAGTCGAACGTAAATAATAACTTCAAGTATATATATAACGGTAATATTTTTAAAAAATTAAAATAATCATGACACGATGTTCTGTTAGAGATGCCAACAATGCATCGAACAGCTCTTTTTTGCAGTTTGAAAACCCTATCCAAGTTATTCCGCAATCCCCAAAAAACTATACCATAACGCAATCTGGACTCAAATTGAGAATAGTAATAATAATCTCTCTACTGGTTATATCTCGAAGACGATATAGGGCAAAACATAAAAATGATAATTTATGACACACAAAATCAATATGAAATTTCCAGTTTGATGCATTGTCAATATGTACTCCAAGAAACTTAGTTGTGTGCTATGGACTTATTAACATCGCGTAATAAATAGCGTTTATTTAAATATCTAGAAGTGAAATGGATAAACATAGTCTTTGATGTATTTAGATGAAGCTTATTATCTTTGAACCAACGAGAAAATTTATTTACTATACTTTGCATGTTCTCCATTGCCTCATCCATATCATCTCCGACTGAAAGGTAGGTGTTATCATCCGCATAAATAATTAGATTTTCTGTTTTGTGAACTACATCAACAATATCGTTTGTAAATACTAAGAATAATAAAGGACCAAGAATTGATCCTTGTGGAACTCCAACACATACGTTCAAATTTTCCGATCTGTTCCCATCAATGTCCACACATTGTTTCCTATCATGTAAATATGAGCTTATCCAATCACCCACTTTTCCGCGAAGACCATATAAAGAGAGTTTGTCTTATAAAAAGTGCGCAAGTTGTTTTATTGTTATCTATATTCCTATAAACAAGATTCATAAGCAAAGCGATATGTGTACCCTTCTTTTTTCGGAACCCATGCTGGGATTCCATTAATATATTGTGATCAGACATGTACCCATATATTTGGACAAAGATACATCGCTCAAGAATTTTAGAAACTGAACTAAGTAATGAAATTGGTCTATAATTTTCGGTTAAGCGTGTATCATCTTTCTTATATAAAGGAACAACACGAGCAGTCTTAAAAATATCCGGAGATATCGCCATCTCCAATGACATATTTATTAAATAAGTAAGAGGTTGTATAATAAATTCTGAAATATGTCGCAAAATATTTGAGGATATTTCATCAAAACCACTCGACATTGACCCCTTAAGTGACATAATGGCATTAAAGGCACAAGTTGTCGACACAGGTTGTATAAACATTGTAGGATAGTTTTTATTTACAAAAAAATTTCTGTTCATTTTTGTTTGGTCATGGTTCACATATTTTTGTGAAATACTGACAAAATATTCATTGAATATGTTAGCAATAATATAAGCATCACGAACTACTTCAGTATTAAATTTAATTTCTGATACTGTTTGTTTATCACTCTTACCCAAGGTGTTATTAATAATATTTCACGCCGTTTTGCCTTTGTTATTAGATGTTTTAAGTTTTTTATCGTTATACATTTTTTTAGCTGCTAGTATGACTTTTGTATACACTTTTTTATATTTTTTGTAATATTCTTTATCCCTAATATTTTCAGTATGTATCATTGTTTTATAAAGTTCTTTTAGTTTTTCTCCAGAAACTTTAATACCTCTCGTAATCCAGCCTTTTCTCGTTAAATGTGTATTTACCTTCTTTTTTAATGGAAAAGATATATCTATATAATATTTAAGGATACCAATAAAATTCTGAAAAGCTTCATCAACCGTAGATGCTTCATATACATTTGACCACGATTCAGATTTTACCCAGCTATAAAGTCTGTGATAGTTCTCTTTACAAAAATTACGGGAATGTATTGGTTTATTTGATACTACATTAGTGTCAATTTTAACAAAGAATGATCAGACAGACCATCGAAACATACAGAAATACTATTATCTTGAAAATTATCATTAAACAGCGTGTATACATAGTCGACTCCTGAGGCAAATTTATCAGTGCGTCTAGTAGGTTCATTAATTTGAAATGTAAAGCCGTATGATTGCATAATATCACATAGCTCATGTTTTCACGTGTATTATTTAAAAAATCTATGTTAAAATCGTCACAAATTATAATATTTTCATGTTTTTCTCTAGAAATAAAATTTTCAAGAAAATCTGTTAGTTTTTGTATAAATAATTTATGATCCACTTTATCATCGGCCGACCTAGGATATATGCACACAATTTTAACTGTAGTAGAAGAATTTAGCTTCAATTGGACACCGCAGACTTCAAAAACTTTTTCAGTACTATAGCGAGTACAATCTATTGATTTGAAGCCAGTAGTATATTTATTCTTACATAATATCATAACACCACCAATTTTATATTTTATTCTCGAATAACTACTGAGAATAAAGAAATTTTCAATATGTAGTAAATCTAATTCTTCTTCTTTTAACCATGTTTCAGACAGACATATGACATCTAAGTCATGCATATCCAAAAAAGTTTCCAACATCTCCACCTTATTTCTTAAACACTGAATATTTTTATGACCTACTTTAAAATGAAACATATTGACCAATGAAGGTAACTGCTATTTTACATGTTTAAATGTTTGTCTTTCTATGTCAATTTTTTTCTGAAAAACTACACATTTCTTGTGATCAAACATAGAATGGTGTATATCAAAATGTAGCTTACGCTAAGTATCAAACGCAATAAGTACCAAAAAAAGACACAAATAATAATTATTGTTATGTATCGGGCTACTTTGATTGAAATGCGAAATTATATTTTTAAAATGCTTCTAACTTCTAAACAAAAACGAATCGGACCTATGTACGTATAAGAAAAAATGTTTGAAATTAACTCGGTTACCATCTCTCAAAGTTTGTCATAGAGATTGTAGAGCACCCCGTACTCATATCAATACTATTAACGTTTATAATATGATTTTAGGATCGTATGTGGCGAAAAACGCGCGTCCGATATAGTAGATTTTGCGTTGGAGCCGATCCTAATAGAAACTGGGACTACTCTTGGAATGTGAGAGGTGCTTCAAGCGATAATCCCTGTTCAGAACTGTATCGTGGACCTAAACCCTTTTCTGAACCTTGCACTAAGACCTTATCGGAATTTATTAAAACTGTTGGAAGTGAACTTGTAGCATATATCAGTTTTCATTCTTTTGCGCAAGTTCTGTTGATACCTTACGGCCACACTCCACAGCATTTAGATAATTATGACCTTACGGTAAGTTACAGTTAATATAAAATATACAGGGTGATCCATTAACGGTATCGAGCGGCTGTATACAGGGTGTTTCAGTTCGAGTGAATCAAACTTTAACCATAAATAGAACTTAATAAATAATTCAGAATTGCTTTATAAAGCAAGGGTCTAAGTCTCACCGTTTTCACTATACAGGGCCGTATTGGTCGGTTTTTTAAACCACATTATTTACGAAATATTTGATATGCTTATAACAAATTGATTCAAATTTGGTGTGGTGTTAACATTTGCACATGTGCATAATTTACTGTAAAATTAGTAGGTCAGTGGCGTAGGAATGGGTAGTAAAGCGAGATTTTTTACCTCAACTTCTACGCCAATGACCTAATAATAATTTGGCATTCATTTTTAGATTCCGTGGATAATTCTACATAAAAAAGGTATACTTGTTGAAAATCGGTATAGTGTATCGTTTTACCGAAAGTCTCAGTTGAATGATGAATAAAATGACAGTTCCTGATAACAAATAAGTCTATTATTGCTTAGTTGTTTATTTATGGCAATCATTGTGTACGGATACTGTAATGGACGCACAACACTGATTTAAAATTAATATGTAGGTGTAATTTTTTAAAGGAATAATATCTGTTTGAAACAAACGGAACGTTGAATGAGCAGGGATACCTATAATATTAGAGTAGATGCCATTGAACATATTGTCCACCGCATTGCGGCGCAATAAAAAAATGAGCTCAGAGAAGGAATTCACCACATTACATATGCAATAAATAATACACAAGGCATTATACTTAAAATTTACTAGTCGTTTTGCCGATGTAGAGACATTATTTAATATTGTTTTGAATTCTAAGGTTAATTTATTTCCTATCTTTACGAAACTAAATATTTTATCAGAAGAACAGTCTCCCATTCAACTGAGATTTTCGGTAAAACGACACACTATACCGATTTTCAACAAGTATACCTTTTTTATGTAGAATGGTCCACGAAATCTAAAAATGAATCTCAAATGATTATATTAGATCATTGGTGTAGAAGTTGGAGTAAAAAAAACAATTTACTACCCATTTCTACGCCACTGACCTACAAAAATTTGTGAATTTACAGTAAATTATGCACTTATGTAAATTTACTGAGTTCTATTTGTGGTTAAAGTTTGATTCACTCGAACTGAAACACCCTGTATAGGAACCAGACATGCTACGATTATGGGGTGAAAAATCTATTAACAAATACGGCCAAAAGAAATTGCTATAAAATATTTTTAAGCCTGTAACTTCACCGTTAGAGGGCGCAATGGGTATAGTGTTACAGAAAACTGTCGGTTTTTCGAAATTTCGCTTATATAAACTAAGTTGAAAATACACTTTTTAGATACACTGTTAAACCCTTCACAAGTTTTGTGTGAACTTCTCTTTTGTTATTACCATAGCAGCCTCAGTATGAAGGACGCCATCTTGAAATTTTTAAATTGTCATAACTTCTAAATGCCTTAATCGATTTCGGTAAACGATGGCTCATTTTACAGAACTATTAATAAAATTTATATTTATGATATGAGAATAAAAATATTATTTTCCTGCGCAACGGTAGACGACGCTAATGAGAAAAGTTCTGTAATTGTCTACGTTTACTAAAAAAATTAAATGCAACGATATAGTTTGTTTCATGGCCTGATGGACCATTCACTAAGAAAAACAAATACACAAACCGGAGATCGATATCTTTTTTCGTTTTCAAGTTATTGCTAAAATAGTGAAGTTATGCTAGAACATCCTCCTTTATTTAATTCTCTAAATAATATTGACATAGTTCAAGTCAAAATTAAATTGTAATTAATTGTAAAACTATACCAATCTTGTCCTTAAAAAGAACTATTTTTAATTTTTTTTTTAATATCTAAGTACAATATTTCATTTTTTTATTAATTCCAAATATGTGAGTAGATATTTATAACGTTTATTGTTTCCATAACGAGGCAGGCTATGCCCTATGAAAATAAACAACTGAAAAATTATGCCAAACGAAATGTGACGTGTTATTTGTGTTGGAAGTGTACTTCTGAACAAGGAAAACGTTTTTTGAAAATGCCATTATAGCTTTGTTACTCCAGAAAAGTATTTCAGAGTTTATCCGACGCCACTACATTCTGTAAGAAGACATCGCCGTGCAAGAACGGAAGATAATTTTATTAATATGTTAGCTTGTGTCCATGTAAATCGCCAAATAAGTGTAGAATTAGAGACCTGGGAATTTCATATGGAATACAAGTACTTTTCTCACATGAATGACACTAATTTTGCACGAAGCTAGAGCTGTCACATATCATTTGACATAATTGTTCTATTTTCATAGGATATATCGTTATGGTACCAATAATTATAAATATTCAGATATTTGCAATTAATAAAAAATGAAACATTGCAGTTATCAAAAAAAAAAAAATTAAAAAATAGCAAGTACTTTTTTGGTATAGTTTAACAATTTAATTTTAACTTGGACTATGTCAATGTTATTTAGAAAACTAAATAAAGGAGGATGTTCTAGCACAACTTCACTACTTTAGCAGTAACTTGAAAACAAAAAAAGATATTGACCTCCGGTGTGTGTTGTGTATTTGTTTTCCTTAACAAAAGGTCTATCAAGCCATGAAAAAAACTATATCGTTGCATTTAAATTTTTTAGTAAACGGAGACAATTACAAAACTTTTCTCATTAGCGTCGTCTACCGTTGCGCAGGAAAATAATATTTTTATTCCCATAATCATAAATATAAATTTCATTAATAGTTCCTTAAACTGAGCCATCATTTATTGAAATCGATTAAGGTATTTAGAAGTTATGACCATTTAAAAATTTCAAGATGACGTCCTTCATATAGGCGTTGCTATGGTACTAACAAAAAGAAGTTTAAACAAAACATGTGAAGGGTATAACAGTGTATCTAAAAAGAGAATTTTCAACTTAGGTTATATAGTTGAAATTTCGAAAAATCGACAATTTTCCGTAACACTATAGCAGTTTGCGCTCCCTAGCGGTGAAGTTACAAATTTGAAAATATTTTATAACAATTTCTTTTGGCCGTATTTGTTACTAGATTTTTTACTCCAAAATCGTAACACGGCTAGTTTCCTATATACAGCCGCTCGATACCGTTAATGGATCACCCTGTATAATATGGCTCATGCTCCTGATCGCAGTTCCAGATTTTAGGCCAGGAAAAGGAGCTGAGAAATTACCATTTCGCGACTTTTTGTTTCGGCAAGCTGAATTTATCACTAGAGATGCTAAATATTATGTACAATAACACATTAGTTTCCACAGTCATAAAAATGGGGGGAAGATTGTTTACAGGGTGGTTAATTGTACTTATAATTTTTACGTAAATTCAGGTTTTTCGCTTATAACCTTCTTCCGTTCATTTCTACCAGAAAACAGTAAAGTAATTTTTTCGTCTTCAAAAGACCTACAAAACTAGCCCTCGAACGTCAAAAAATATTGATTAGATCAAAAGTTATAAACAGAAGAATTTTATTTATGACTTTTGAATTAAACATTTATAAACTGCGTTATTTACCAGAACGTTTTGGCATCGCATCCTCTCATTCCTTATCACTAATAACTCACACGAAATCTAAATTGATTTCATGATAATACGTTGAAATCTATCATTTTTTTTTATTTCAAATTTGCAACCTGGAATTTTTTTTATTTTTTAGCCTTAGTTGAAAAATTAAATATACGGCGCACGAACGTGATATAGTTATATATTATCGGAAAGCTTATGAAAAGAGCTTTAAGTTATAAGAAAAATCATCAAGATTCGGTGAAAAACAACGGAGTTACAGACTGTCAAAGTTGACGGCCTATTATTAAACAAATTAAGTTGGTAGCGGCAAAAAAATACTGTCATAACCGGCAACCCGAGTACTTTCCCAGATATAAACATTTTATTTGTGGAAGTATGTTAAGTGCATAAGAAATATTGTCAAAAGTCAGAGGCTCTCTTTATTTTTCGGCGAGCCGTGGCGCGGCGGAAGGGTGGGGGAAGCGAACGACAGCAAGTCCGAAGAAAATGACGATAATATTCATAGTTCTGCCGATAAAAAAGCGAAATTCGGCTTGAAAATAATATATTTGACAGTCTGTAAATCCGTTGTTTTTCAACGAATCTTGACGATTTTTTTTAACTTAAAGCTCTTTTCATAAGCTTTCCGAATATGTAATAATAATATAACTATATCACGCGCATGAGTCTTATATTTCATTTTGCAATTAAGGCTAAAAAATAAAAAAGATTTCCAGGTTGCAAATTTGAAATTTAAAAAATAAATGATAGATTTCAATGTATTATTATGAAATCTACCATGAAAAAAATCAGTGCGATTGTGGCAGATACTCGGGATCGTCCATACTAATAATTAGTTAATTTGTTTATAAGGCCATAACTTGTAAACTATTCAACTTACCGATTCCAGATTTCGTGTGAGTTATTAGACAGTGATAAGGAATGAGAGGACGCGATACCAAAACGTTCTGGTAATAATAACGGAGTTTATAAATGTTTAAATAAAAAGTCATAAATAAAATTCTTCTGTTTATAAATTTTGATCTAATTAATATTTTTTTAACACTCGAGGGCTAGTTTTGTAGATCCTTTGAAGTACTTTACTGTTTTCTCGTGGAAAAACGTTATAAGCGAAAAGCGTGAGTTTACGTAAAAATTATATAATTAACCAGCCTGTAAACAATCTTCCTCCCATTTTTATGACTGTGGAAACTAATATGTTATTGTACATAATATTTAGCATCTATAGCGATAAATTCAGCTTGCCCAAACAAAAAGTCGCGTCCAACTCTATATTTCCTGGCCTATTATATTGCACTTCTTAAGCCTTAGCTAGGAGTCTTTGACCCACCCTTGTTGTTCTCGTGCTAGACTTTATTCTACGATTAAGAAGAAACCTTCAATACCTTTAAATTTTTCAAATTCAGATATTCGATATTGTCAGCATTATTAATAGTAATTTGCTGAAATGCTACTTTTCAATTTCGTGGAAAAGATCGTGTTATATGCATGTAAAATGACTGTTTGTTTTTCCACAACTTGTAGTAGTTATATCAATTATTATCGGAATGGCATGAATTCGTTTTTGATTCCAAATTCTTTCCATTTCTGTTGACAGTTGTTGATGTTTTTCTTTCTTTCCTGAATATTTTTTTATTATATTTATTGAAAACTATGTTTCAAAGACCTAATCTTCGGAGGATTATAAAGCAATTAACTAATTAATTAATTAGTTTTAGGAAAGTCTCTACACCTTTATTTATTTTATTATGCTGACGAAAGGAATCCTGGATATTTATCGTAATGTCAATGTTACTTCCTAAAGAAAAATATTTTTTCTCTTATAAAAATGATACAATATTTTCCTCGCTTTACCTTATTCATTCATTGTATAATTAGTGTTATAATTTCAAAAAAAAAATTCCAGAGATCAGTCACTACGCTTCCGAAGGCATTTGGCGCGCTGAATCCGAATCTGGCCTCAGAATTGATCCATCACCCTAGGTTTCCGAGATATTCTAACCTAAAAGTGCAAAAAACACGTACTTTTGCTATATTCAAGGTTATGTAACTTGGCGAAAAAAATTTTTTTCTTAAAACTGAAAACATCATTGGAAACGACTATCTTTCCCCTTCAAAACGCATTTTTTTATTTGGAAAAAGCTCTATTTTTCGCGGAGATATCGTCAATTTAAGATGACCAGTATGGCTATATTATTACATCATGGCTAACCCCATAACACTGAGCGCTGCTAGCCCTAATTGTTAGGAACGTTAACCCCAAGCCCTATAACCCCACAACACTAAGCGGAGCGAGCCCTCATCGTCAGGAAGGTTAACTTCAAGCCCTATAACCCAATAACACTAAGCGCTGCGAGCCCTAATCGTCAGGAAGGTTAACCCCAAGCCCTATATGTCTGGAAGGTTAATCCCAAGCCCTATAACCCCACAACACTAAGCGCTGTGAGCCCTAATCGTCAGGAAGGTTAACTTCAAGCCCTATTACCCAATAACACTAAGCGCTGCGAGCCCTCTAAGGCTCGTAGCGCTTAGTGATATTGTGTTATAGCCATGGTTTAATAAGGAAGCTATACTGATCATCTTTAATCGACGATATCTCCGCGAAAAATAAAGCTTTTTACAAATAAAAAAATGCGTTTTGAAGGGGAAAGATAGTAGTTTCCAATGATATTTTCAGTTTTGAGAAAAAAAATTTTTTCGCCAAGTTACATAACCTTGAAAATAGCAAAAATACGTGTTTTTTGCACTTTTAGGTTAGAATATCTCGGAAACCTAGGGTGATGGATCAATTCTGAAGCCAGATTCGGATTCAGCGCGCCAAATGCCTTCGGAAACGTAGTGTCTGATCTCTGGAATTTTTTCCTTGTTGGCCTGTGTTTTTAATACTTATACTCGGTCTTTGCTTGAATGATCATATAAGATAAACTTTTTCTACAGTGTTTCAAGTATTCCTTTAAAAATAAAATAGATGCTAAGAGTACCAGGAAGTTTGAATTCTGAGGATAAGTTAAAGAAGTTTTTATGATTATTTAATTGTATTTGTTTTGTTTCTCATTAAAATAAAAAAGTTCTTGAATGCAATTTTTCTAGTTTTCTAGTTTCTGTTTCTAGTACGACATTGGATTAAAAGCTGTTGAAGTATTAGCTCAGCGTTATGGAACGCGGTACAGGGTGGGCACAATCTACGATATTATGTGTAAGTTACTTTTTTCTATTTTAAATTAATAAACAAATTTAGCATATTAAGTTAAATGAGGAAGTCATATTAGACTGTAGAATGAGGAGGATGAAACAGTGAAGCAGTGACGTGTTTTGTGTATAATCTTCATTCTTCTGGATATAATAATTTGTGGCCGTAAAAAGGTCGGTCTATAGTTAAGGGCCGAAATTGGACACTCCTTTCAGCAGTATTGGTACCAGTACTAAACACTTTAATACATCAATAAATAATGCATTTATATTATATGATTAATATATACGATATAAAAAAAAAACAAATTTTTATTTTCATAAAGGGATAATGATTGTTAGGGAAACAAAATCAATGAATTGTACAATTGTGACAAAGCTGTAACGTAGATTACAATAATGGTAAAATTACCTAATTCCACAAATAAATGTCCATTTGTTGCAGACATAGCAGCTGGAGGTAGTATCGAGTGGGTTAAAGGTATTTTCAAAACGCCCTTAGTGTACACATATGAACTTCGTGATAAGGGAAGGTATGGTTTTCTGCTTCCACCACAACAAATCATACCAACTTGTGAAGAAACATTTGACTCATTTGTAGCTATTTTTCAAGAATATTACAAGGCAATCAAATCATAAATTTAATTTTTATGTTACAAGAAATGTCGGGTTAAAAATAAAAAATAGGTAGATAGATGTACTTATAAAATGCTGTTGTATTTTGTACATTGAGCTTAATAAACTAAATGAAACTTAAACATAAGTGCTCCTTTGGTTTTATTTTTATTTTGAATCTGATGTTAAACACACCATTCTACATCTGAAAAACAAAATTTGTCTTGATTATTATGGCTTAAGTAGTTGCATAATAAAAACATCACTAGATTTTTTTGTGACACTCATTGACACTGCTATTTAATAAATTATTTAAGTACATGGCCTGATCTTCCTGTGTACAAGGTGATGGCCCATTAGAATTATTTCAGACACTACTTCTATTTGATTTTTTTTTAAAATAATGGCGTCCACATACCACTTCTGGTTATACCGGAAGTCGCCATCAACTTGCTTATTTTAAATGGAACACCCTATATATTATTGCAATTACGTATTCTGCATGTTATTTTAGGTGGACTTTTATGAAGTTTCCCTATTCCTAAAATTAACCGTTTCGAGATATTTAATTAAAAAAAAAATAATGGAGAGACACAGTGACTAGCTTCAAACCATGTATATTTTATAGTAAGAAAGATAAAGCAACAATATTTATAGGGGGGATAGCTCATCCATACTTTCAAAGTGGCTTAATTGTATACAGGGTGCTAGAAATTTAATGTCGAGTTTAGTTAACTTCAAACCTTCATAAGTCGTTTTTTTTATGGAACACCCTGTATGTTTTTCTATATTATTGATACACAATTTTATTTTCTTTCGAACCGTATCAGGGTTCCCCATACCTATCTCTACTAGTTTTTAAGTTATCTACTATATTTTGTATAATCACCTAAAATCATGTAATTTCTTGCGAGGATAGCTGTGGAATTTTTAGCAGAACTTCGAAACAAACTGTCATCAGTTATTTATTATTATTTATTCACAGACGTTGCAATGGGATTCTAAGCAGAACATTTACAGTTTTTAATGAGACATCCCAATTTTCCACCAATGAGCAGAATAAAGTTAAGAATTCTAAAAAATCAACTTCATACATAGTAATACACAATTTTAATTATGTATGTTGATTATAATAATGCACTAAGATAAAAAAAATTACTATAAAAAGTCAAAAGTGTTCAATATGACCCCCATTAACAGCTAAGCACTTGTGGATTCTAGAGATAACACCATCAGTCACCGTATTTGCTATTTCAGCTGCAGGCAATTCATGGAACGTTCTTCGTATTCGAGCAATCAAATCCTCTTTTAAAGCAACAGGTGTAGAATAAACTTTTTGCTTTATTACTCCCCAAACACAAAAATCTAATGGAGTGAGATCGGGAGACCTCACTGGCCAATTCCACGGTCCTCATCCATCTATCTTCAAACATTTCAGCTGTTGAATGATTTGATTGTGACAGTGAGGTGAAGCCCCGTCTAATTGATACCAACACTTCCTTAGTTGGTCTAAAAGTATATCATCTAGAAAATCTGCCACAACCGTTTGCAAAATATTGAGATATCTGTCGGCAAGAAATTTGGTTATCTTTAATTAGACAAAAAACATTTACGCTAAATTTATTTTGAAAGTTTCTTTCCCGGTTAACATGAGCATTTTCAGATGACCACAAATGAGTATTATGTCTATTAAAAATACCTTCTCTCGTAAATTTTGACTCGTCTGTCCATACAATATGTTGCAAAAATTGTGGATCTTCTTGGTATCGCACTAATATCGTTTCACAAAATTGTCCACGTTGCACGGCGTCACCCGGATGAAGAGCAGAAAGTAGCTTAAATTTGTATGGATGCATATCATTAGTTCTTAGCATCCTGTAAATGGACGCTCGTGAAATACCTAAATCATACTCTGCGGCACGAGTTGAGGATTCTGGATGAAAATTAAAATAGGCTAGCACATTTATTACATTATCTTCATTTGAAGTTATTGGTTTTGGTAAAATTCTTTCTGCACAAATTTGACCATACTCTAGTTGATTTGCTAAAATTCTTCTTAACTTTTTTCTACTCATTGGTGGCAAATTTAGATATGTCTCATTAAAAACTACATGTTCTGCTTATAATCCCATTGCAACGTCCGTGAATTAATAATACATTTAAAATATCAGCATTTGAATATGTATTGTTTTCCATTTCTTATAAACACTAAATTAAACTGTCACTGCAAGAAACTTACAACAAATTGACAGTTTCGTTGTTTGTTTTGAAGTTTTGCTAAAAATTCCACAGCTATCCTTGCAAGAAATTAGATTTTGGGTGATTACACAAAAAATAGTGGATAACTAGAAGAGATAGGTACAAGGAACCCTGAGACCGTTCGAAAGAAAATAAAATTGTGTATCATTATATAGAAAAACATACAGGGTGTTCCATTTAAAAGAATGACTTATGAAGGTTTGAAGTTAACCAAACTCGGTATTAAATTTCTAACACCCCGTATGCAATTAAGCCACTTTGAAAGTATGGATGGGAAGCTTAGGGGTCTAGCTATCCCCCTATAAATATTGTTGCTTTATCTTTCTTACTATAAAATACGAGGGTGGTCTGAAAAGTTTCCGACCTAACAAAGAAACAAGACATTAATTCAGATTTTTTTTTTATTTTTCAACATGGTCTCCTTGTAACTCTACACACTTCTCCCAGCGATACTCCCGTATCTGTAACCCGTCCAAATAGTACTCGGCGTTTTTCTCTGCAAAATAATTGTTCACGAAGGTGATTGCCTCTTCATTTGACAAAAATCTCTGTCCTCCGAGAGCAATTTTTAGATGAGGGAACAAAAAGAAGTAGCTTGGGGCTAGATCTGGTGAGTAAGGCGGATGGTTAAGCAGTTCAAACCGTAATTCGTGGATTTTCGCCATGGCAACCGCTGAGGTGTGAGACGGTGCGTTGTCTTGGTGAAGAAGGATTTTCTTTTTCTGCAAATGTGGCCGTTTTTCCGCAAGTTCTGCCTTCAGCTTGTCAAGTAATGATGCGTAGTATGCTCTTGTAATGGTTTTTTCTTTTTGAAGATAATCGATTAAAATAACTCCATGACTATCCCAAAAAACAGTCGCCATCACTTTCCCAGCCAGAAAAAAACAGATTTTGCTTTTTTTAGAGCCGGTTCCCCCTTTGCAGTCCACTGTTTGGACTGTATTTTTGTTTCAGGCCTATAATGGTGTATCCAAGTTTCATCTACAGTAATTAATCGGCGCCAAAACTCGGATTTATTGCGCCTAAACTGCGCCAACAGAGCGTTGGAAATGTTCATTGGAACACGTTTTTGGTCTAACGTGAGCAAACGCGGCACCCAACGCGCGGACAGTTTTCTCATGTTTAAATGTTGATTTAATATGTGACAAACACGTTCTTTTGACATGTTCATAACCTCTGCTATCTCTCTCACTTTAATTCGGCGGTCGTCTAGCACCATTTGGTGAACTTTGGCGATGTCTTCGTCGGTAGTTGCAGTTTTTGGACGTCCCGAACGTTCATCGTCTCCCAAGCTCTTACGGCTACGTTTAAATTCAGCTGCCCAAAATTTCACTGTGGTAAATGATGTGCAGAGTCCCCATACACAGAATCCAACTCATCTTTGATTTATTATTACCTTTCAAAAACAAAGATTTAATGACTGCTCGATACTCGATTTTGTCCATTTTCATAGAGACTCACACCAACTCACTTAAACGACAGTTACATAACAACTGCGCGTCCAAAATGGCTGAAACTTTGCTGAGTAACTGTCAACAGATGAACAACGAAATTCATTAGCTTTTATTTACGAGTGCTGCCATCTTCATGTTGAGATCTGAAACTTTTCAGACCACCCTCGTACACATGGTTTGAAGCTAGTCACTGTTTATCTCGATTTATTTGAAAAAAATTAAATATCTCGAAAACGGTTAATTTTAGGAATAGGGAAACTTCATAAAAGTCCACCTAAAATAACACGTAGAATCCAAAATTGCAATAAGATATAGGGTGTTCCATCTAAAATAAGCAAGTTGATGGCGACTTCTGGTATAACCGGAAGTAGTACGTGGACGCCATTATTTTAGTTGGGAAGGGCATGTCCGAAAACCCGGTACCTATCCCAAATTTTCAAAATTCAAATCGAAGTAATCTCTAAAATAATTCTGATGGGCCGTCATCGTGAGACATCCTGTAGTTCCAATTTGTTTAAAAAATATTTGAAATTCTTGTTGAATAACTATTTGCTTATTTGGAAGTTAAATCTATATTGTCACCTTTAAAATTTGCTTTCAGAAAGAGCTTTTCTACCATCAAAGTTCTTCTAACAGTCGTTGATGGTTTTTTGTGATCTTTCGAAAGGCTTTGATAGCGTTAATGTCGACATTTTACTTGCAAAACTTGAATATTACCGCATTGGTAATAATGAATTATAATCATTCAATCTTATTTAACAGGCAGGCTGCAAAATGTCAGTATAAATAGCACATAATTTACCTTACTTCCTATACGTAACGGTGTACTTCAAGGGTCAGTACTACGTCCTGTGCTTTTCCTGATATACATCAACGACTTACCGGTCAATATTCCTAATAGTACGTCTATCCTCTTTTGGCACAACACTGCTGTCTCGTGCTAGTACAGATATGAGTTCGGGTAGTATAATCGGGGTGGAAACTTGGTTTTCAGAAAAAAAATTAAAGCTAAATGTTTCCAAAAGTCAACACAAAAACTTTACTTCTAGTAAAATCCATACCAAATCGGATACTAAGTATTTGGGTGTTACTTCTAGCCTAAACTGGACAGCACATGTTGATAGTCTATGTTCAAAACTCTCTACACAAATATTCCTGTCGAGACAGTGGCGACGTTCAGTTGATATCAGTGTACTGAGAATGGTGTATTACTCCTTAGTTCATTGGAGTAATTCTATAGTTCCGAAAAAGCTTTCATTCTGCAGAAGGCTGCGGTTCGTCTCATTGCTGGTGTACCTAGAACTACTTCTAGTGGCAATGTATTTAAAAAAATTAGGATTTTACCACTTCCATGTCTATTTACATATGAATCTTTACTTCTTATTCATAAAAATGTTGGAGATTTTGTTAAACCCTGCAACGTACATCAAAACTATACCAGGCATGCTGAGAATATTGTTATTCCATTTCCCCCTGTTAATATTACAAAAAATAATAAACTACAAATTGGGCTTTATAACAACTTAGGGATATAGAGACGCTCAGGCTTATGCTGATGATGGAGTGATTCTAGTGGCTGGCCTGTTTTTGGACGTGGTGTGCGACAGAATTGAGGGAGCTTGTAGGATTATAGAGAGGTGGTGTGAGGTGATGGGGCTCTTAGTCAATACAAAGAAGACTGAGATGCTCTTATTTACAAGAAGAAGTCAAATACCTGGGGGAAATCCTGAATAGTAAACTGTCTTGGGGGACACAGGTTGAAAGGATTACCCGGAAATCAGTGGCAACTCTCTGGTAGTTAAGGAAGGTAGCAAAAATTTGGAATTCAATCCAAGGGTGTTTCACTGGGTGTATACGGCGGTGGTCAGGCCGAGTGCAGCATGGGGCCTTGGTCTGGTGGCTGAGTGTGGTGACGATAGCCAGGAAAATATCGAAAATCCAAAGACTGCCTGCTTAGGTATACAGAGGCAATGTGAGGAAGTGGCGACATACCTAAGGATAAGGGACTCGGGCAGTTGGAGAGGGAAAGGACGCACTGAGTGTCACGCTTCCGTGCCTTCAGGGTGGAGAGGGATATCCCAATATCCACACATGAGGGTCACGGAAGCAGAGGACCGACTTAGGTTAGGAAGCAAGTATGTCATATCCTTCCCCTCGAGAGAGTAGTGAAAGCAGGAAGGTGATATGTCCCCCCCGGGATCCCTAGTATGCTATACTAATGGATCTCGAGACGAGTTTTCAGGGACAGGAATTTATCTGGAAGGCAGTGGTATCCAGGAAAGTTTTCACTGGGTATGTATGCCACAGTCATTTAGCTGAGGTTTTCGCTAGCTTGATTGTGGCAAGCAAGGAGGAGGTAAAGAACTGTATAGAGGAGAAGATTTTTTATCTGCTCTGACAGTTAGGCCGCGCTCAGGGTGGTTAGCTTTCCGAGGACAAGGCCTGCCCTTGTTCAGGAATGTGGAGACGCTCTAGAGTCATTGGCCAGACGAAGAGAGGTTGGTTTGGGTTTCGGGCCATATGAGTATTCCTGATAACGAGAGGGCTGATCAACTGGCTCGTCTTGGATCTAGGGGACCTGGCCTGGGACCTGAACCAATCCTCGGAATCACACGAGGTAGCATTAACGGGGCCCTGAATAAATGGACTCAAACTTTAGATCAAAACTGGAGGAGAAACAGAGGATGTAAGCAGGCCCATAGTTTTATATATGGACTTAACAAACATAATATATAAGACGAGATGGCTACTGAGCCTCAGTCAAAAAGCCCTAAACCAAATGGTGGGGGTCCTGACAAGCCATTGTGGACTTAATAGGAATTGAGGAGCACCCTTTATGCCCGAAATGTGGAGTAGGAGAGGACACCCCCTGTCCACCTTCTGGGGCACTGTGCAGCCTTTGGAAGGTTAAGACATACAATTTTTGGTGTTGAAGAGCTGCAAGGGGTTGAGGTGAAAATCCTGGCGTTCATTAGGGCATCGGGTAGGTTCGAGGAGGGTCAGAGGCAGAGAGTGGACAGGTGATGGGACGGTGGGGTAGGCATAAAGGGCCCACCTACTACTACTGCTTATAACAACTTTGATAATCATTTTAAATATAATAAAATCAAATAAATGTCTTCATCAAATCCCTCAAAAGCTTGTTAAAATTTTTTAATTGTTTCACTGTTGTTTATCTATTGATTTTAATTCATATACGTGTACCAGTACTTTAATAAGTAGAGAGCGGACAATGTGTGTCTTTAACCCGAATATTAGGTCAAATTCGGGTGGATATGCGTACGTGATCAATAATGTATTGAGTGTAAACTATGCAAAATATAATTATTATGTATAGCAAATATATCGTATTATCCTCGCGAAGATTTGTATCCTTTATTTAAAATCCATAAATCATGTGAACTGGTAAAACAACGAGAAAATAATTAAGTTAATTTAGTTCTAAAGAAATGAAATGACACTCGAGCCCATCTCTAGTCCATCCGTTGACATCGGTAGCGTTTATCGAATTCCTATTGGTCAGAATTCAAATTGCAGCCCTGTTATGAATGGAGCGTGAGTTGGACTATTCTTGTGCGTCACCTGAGGGTATTCGTTACATTAACTCCTAATTTCCAATTAAAAAAACGACACTATTTTTAACTGAACTTTATTTAATAAATATGTAGTTATACAATTCCTGATTTCCTAAATATTTTATAAAGCCTAAAAATATATGTACCGTGGAATTTTCGTGAATTATCACGTATATTCCCAATACGTACTCGACACGCCACTGCGTCATGGATAATGTATCTATGTTTATGAATGGCATATCTATGTTCAAGGTTAAAGACACTAATTGTCCGCTCTCCGTTAATAAGTACCTGACTCTCTGAAAATGTATGTTTATATTAGTTACCTGCTACACCGGAATTTTATAAATCAGCACTAACAACTGATTAAAAATTACATTCCATAATCTTGATTGCAGCCATGTGGTCGAGGAATGTTAATGGTTCATTATTAACGAACAATGATTATATTTGCACGACGTTGGGCAATATTTTTCACTGAAAACGTTTCTTAATATTACTGATATTTAAATCAGTTGTTATGTGTAACACACACAGCGCAACTACTTGAAACAATTTGCTGCTTTCTTTAAATGGCTTCCATTGAAATAAAATCATTTCTAATATTTCTTTCGTATCTGGCTGTACCTAGTTGCTTTTCTTATAAAGTCCGGTACGACAATTACAAACTATTTCGTGTCACTCCAAGTAGTCCCCAGGCGGTTGAGGCTTTGCGAGAGTTTGAGCAAGCAGATTCACCAGAATATAATTTTTGGAGTGCCACGGGACCTGTGGGGAAACCAGTTGAGATTATGGTGTCCCCAAACAAGGTAAGTGAACTGCAGCATATCGCAGAAAGTATGGGAATGCCTTCGAAGGTGATGGCTGATAACGTCCAAGAACGAATCGATGCAGAGGAAAGGCCGCGAACTCGAAATGGATTTGGATGGACTCGTTATAATACCCTCGACGAGGTAAGCATGTAATTTTAATACATGAATTAAATAACTAGAATATTTCCTTAGTTTTCTTCTTAAAGAAGAACCAGCATTTTTTTCTTTATTTGTTGGATATTTGGCCATCTGTGAAAAATATTTTAAAAATTAGTGAAATAAACCTCTGTGGGATTGGTCAAGGGTTACTCTTCAGAAACAGTCCAGGGAATAAAGGGTTTCCCCTCCGAATGGTGTGGAAGCCACCCCTTCTAAGGGGTCAAAAATAAAATATTGAAAATAACCCCAGGAAGCGATAACGCAATCAATTTTAAACAAAAAGAATTTTATGAATACTTTTCGATAAGTTAATATTTTAGTTATTGGCGATTGAAAATGTTTTTTTTTTATTAAAAAAGACGTTTTCCAGTAGTTTTCCTCGAATAATTCGGAAAATAGACATTCTATGAAAAAAAACATCACGAAGAAAATTAAGCTTAAAAAGAAAAAGATTGAGTTTTCTTTCATTTATGCATCTGCAATAGGTGCTGAAATACGGCTGGTTGGGGAAATTTCATGTCCGCCAGAAACTAAATTGGAAGCATTTGGCGTAAAATAACTAAAAAAATATATTTTTTAAAGTACTTTAAAAAAATCTTTAAAATGAACTGACTTTAAGTCATTAACATAAAATTTAACAGATATATGATCAAAATAAAACTTAATTCGCTTTTTTGGAAAAAAAAATCAGTATAAAAATTACTGAATTTTTCACGAGATTTAAAATTAAATGTAATCCTTCTACAATTTACATTTTTTATGTTCTAACAATATATTATACAAGTTTCAGCGGTTTAGAATGCATATTTTTGAAAATTTTACGTTTTGATTGAAAAATAAATTTAATTCCAAAAGAATTACATATTTTTGCAAATAACTTTAAAAATAAAAAAGATACGGAAAATATTCAAGAGTATAAAAGTTTAAATTTTTTTGCACAGAATATTTCTTTCTTCTTTATTTGTGTAGGATAAAAATTAACAGAGATGTCGCTGCTAGAGGTTTGCAGTTGAGGGCGAAGGTCATGATTTTCAAACCTTTTAACCTCAAATATCTAAAAAATAATGCATTAAAAAATAATCATTTTTACAGTGCTTTTAGCTGTGGAAATTTTCTGTAAAATCGTTTTTGGATCGTCTTAATAGCTTTAAAAGTAAGGAAGTTATCGTTAAACAACCAACGGTACCTTACCGCTTCAATTTTCGGAGCATATCAATATTTCGGTTATCCACAACTTTGGAGCATTCTATGTACATAGAATACCTTCACTTTTTCCCTTTAATCTTTTAATAATTCTACTTATCAACTTAAAATGTATAAAATTGTTTTTATTTGTATAATGAAGGGTAATTTTTAAGAAACCCAGAAACACCATAGGAGGATATTACAGGTAATTCATTTTAAATAATTTAAAAACAATTTTTTGTATAGTTTGTCATTGGGGGTAGTTTTTAAGAGTTTAAAACAATGCGATAAATTATAAGTTGTATTATAAACAGGTAAAATAATTAATTTATCTAGTTTGTACTATCAAATCATTTCAAATTGTTAAAAACTATTTTTTTTTAATATTTTGTTATTGTGGGTAGTTTGTTAGTGGTTGAAATATTGTAATAAATTATTTATAATACCATAAACTATTGAAAATATTTCTATATACAGCGAGGTAAAAAAGTTCTGCATAAAATTCATATTTTCATTAAAATTTTTTTTCGAAAAACGAGTGAGACCCGTCGATTTTTATTTGATCCAGGGCACCTTGTTATGTGGTAAATTTTTTTTTTGATAATCCACTTACGGCAGCGATGACATAATTTTTTTTTAAATGACAACGCATACTTTTTTCGTTCGAAATTGATGATAGTGATAATTATCTAAACAACGGTGTGAAAATTTCGATGTCTTACATAACAATTTTTCTTTAGAAAAATGCACCTTAAGTTCCTGAATGCAATAATTTGCTGTTCACGGATCAAATGCCTTAGAAAAAAATTGATTCGGCAGAAAGCATTTCAGATAACTTAAGTTGCAACTGGTGTTATGTAATATTTGCGGAATTATTCATCAGATATTGTCAGGATCCTGATTAAACTGCAAAATTTAGAACCAAGTTCAACCGCACAAAATCCAAATAGTATGTAGCAAATTAAGGTCGACTTTTTGTCTTCGAGTTTGCCGATAAATTCCCCAAAAAAAAAAGATCCAAAGAAATGTTTACTTGAAAGGAGTAGATTACCTGAAATATTGAAGACTAAAAATCAGTACCGATTTAACATTCTTTGGTGAAATCGTTTAATTCGAAATGGCAAAACTTAGTGAACGCGAAAGAATTGATATTTTGAGGATGATTGGTTTCGGCGATAAGTTACGAACCCATCAAGAAGCTTGCCAATTATTTAATGCAACGTACCCTGACAGACCACCAATTACGCAATCTACGGTTAGTAGGGTACTGGCAAGGTTTGAGGAAACTGGTAGTGTGAAAGATGCTCCTCGTGCGGGTCGTCCTAGAGTAGATGATGAAACTAGATTGAATATCCTGGTGGAGCTCCAGGACAACCCTCATTCTAGTACAAGGTCGATTGCATTGAACAATGATATTTCACATGTAACTGTGGTGAACTTTCTCAAAAAAGAGAAATTTCACCCCTATAAGGGTCACTTGATACATGCATTGACTGAGGACGACCCAGACCGCCGTCTCCACTTTTGTGAAGATTTAATGCATCGATGTAACGGAGACCCCGACTTCCTCAAGAACATAATTTTTTCTGACGAGGCTACTTTTTATCTTAATGGATCGGTGCATCGACATAACTGCCGGTATTGGTCTCAGGAAAACCCGCACTGGGTGCAAGAAGTAGATCATCAGCACCCCCGAAAGGTGAACGTTTGGGCGGGAATAATAGGGCGTCGTATTTTAGGCCCGTATTTTTTCGAGGAAAATTTAACTGCTGCTCGCTATTTGGATTTCCTGCGGTTCGATTTGGTCCCAAGCTTAGCAGAGTTATTCCCGAACAACGAGGATCCTGATATTCCTGAGGAAAGAATTTGGTTTCAGCAGGATGGTGCACCGCCCCATTATGGAGTGCAAGTACGGGAGTACTTGAATAACACGTTTACTGGCCGGTGGATCGGGCGACGCGGAACAATCGAGTGGCCTCCGCGTTCGCCTGATTTAACACCTCTAGACTTTTTTTTGTGGGGCTATTTGAAATCGCGTGTGTACACAAACAGACCAGGTGATTTGGAAGAACTTAAAAACCGTATTCGTTTTGAAATAAATCAAATCGACCCGGGAATGCTTGAACGAAGTGTAGACGGCGTTTACACACGCTTAGGACAATGCCAAATGGTACAGGGTGGGCAATTCGAACAATTTCGCTAGACTTACACAAACATTAGTGTAATTTTACTCGTTTGAAATGTAATTTTGTCAACTTTGTCCTTTTCGGAGCCATTAATAGTGTAAGTAGACAATTATCACTTATAAGAACTTAAGGTGCATTTTTCTAAAAAAAATTGTTATGTAAGACATCGAAATTTTCACACCGTTGTTTAGATAATTATCACTGTCATCAATTTCGAACGAAAAAAATTTGCGTTGTCATTTAAAAAAAAAAAAAATATGTCATCGCTGCCGTAAGTGGATTATCGAAAAAAATTTTTTTCCACATAACAAGGTGCCCTGGATCAAATAAAAATCGATGGGTCTCACCGTTTTTCGAAAAAAAAAAAATGTTTAACGAAAATATGAATTTTATGCAGAACTTTTTTACCACGCTGTATATATGCGCTATAAAAATATTTTAAGGTTAAAGAAACTATTAATTTTCTATTTTTATCATTAAGGGTGGTTTTTAAGGGTTGCAACTTTATAAAAATATCTTAAATACACACATACACACATAATACATACCACAATATAAAGTAATTCTATATATTAAGATATGATTTTATCCTATACAGGGTGTCCCTGAAAAGGATGGACTACGCCTGACCACAGGTTCCTTGGATGAAAATAAGACTATTTAGCCTAACTTACCTATATACAAAAATGCACGCCTACTGATATATATATAGCCTTCTAAATATAGAACAGATAACCTAGTTTTTTCAAATAATTTGAAAACTGTTTTTCTTATAAACTTTTTTGTGTGTACATCAATGGCGACAGAATTTTTAAAAATAAGCACTATTTTAGAAGATTTTTTGTCTCTTACAAAATTTGGATATCGTTTATGGATTTCGAGTAAAATTGGCATTTTTACACATTAAATAATATAAAATAATAATATAAAATTAGTTTAAGATAAATAGAATAGTCTAGTACGAGGTGCCATATAACAAAGAAACAAATTCATAACAATAATTAAAAGGTTCAGTGTCAAGCTAGCTGTGATTTAATTTTAGTGTGATTTTAATTTTACTTTGTTTTTTATTGCAATTTATACTTTTGCTGAACAAAATGATATGTTATTAATTTTGGGTTATTGTGAAAAAGATTGTTGTGCTACTGTTCGAACATATGCTGAGTTTTCCTAATCGAAGAATTCCAAATCACAACTTTTAACTGTAACATTAAATCTTGGATAATGTACGGCCGAAACTATTCAGCTGGAGGAACAAATTTTGGAAAGGGTCGAAGAAATTCCTCGGGTAAATAAAAGGCGTTTAGCGGCAGAGGTTGGTTTTCAAAAAGTTCCGTTAATAGAGTATTAAAAGACCAGTTATTACAGGTTACTATACCAACAGGTGGATAGGTATAGGAAATAATGCCTCTTTAAAATGGCCACCTCGATCCCCGGACCTAAACCCATGTAATTATTTCCTTTGGGGAGTGTTGCGGACCACAGTTTGTAACATTTCAGTAAATACAGAAAACGAATAATGGGAAAGAATACAACATGAAATTAGTGTTATGAGAGGTAATGCACAATTATTGGATAAAATTCATTTTCATTTTCGAAGAATTAATGCTT